GATTCATGTGTAACTGGTAAAAGAGCCCAGCACATAACACAGAACATGCCAAGGAGCAGACTCGTCACCTGCTGTTGCTGCTTTCCTTATGAGCCTCTCAGGACACTTGGAGTCCTCAGCAGCTGAAGACTTTTCCCCCAAGGCAGTTTTGGCGCTTGTATCAATTTACTGATGAGTAACCAGAGTAACCAGCTCTGACAGCCTGGAAAAGAGAGCTGTGACTCCTCATCCTCCTCCCTGCTCGCTCTGGAGTGGCAGAAGTGGTGAGTAAGAGCCCTCCTGAGCCGTGGGCCGGCTGCATCAGCGCCAGGATGGCTCCCACCTCCTGCCATGGTACAGGGAGCAGCACAGGGACTGCTGTGCTGGGGCTTGTACTGCAGGACTTTTCTCTTCTGCTCCAGTGGAGAATTCCAGTGGAACACTGGAGTGCACAAAGGATGAAAGCTTCACCACGACATGCCCCTGCCAACACTTGGCAGGGATGTGGGACCTTACTCACTCTTGCACTGCAAAAACAGGCACTACCACTCACAATAACATAAGAGCAAAATACTCATTTCCCCCAAGAGCTTCTTCCACTGTTTCCTCCCAGTTGTAACTGGTGCTGCTGAGAGTCTATGGGAAAAAACTCTAGTACAGACAAGGCCTCTGCATGCAAATGAACGCTACATAAATAACCCCCATCTTCCCTCAGTTCCTAGGTTGGGTACTCTGTGCACTAGAATTCTCTTCAAAGACCTCCCAGTTCATTCTTTATGCTCTAATTAAGGATCAGTGCCAATTAACTATCTTCAATAGAGGAGCATCTTCCGCTCAGCAGCCAGGAAGTGTCTGAATAAGATCCTGCTGTACAATGTGCACATGAAAAGGGAAGCCCTCCCTTTTCAGAATAGGCTTCCAAGATTAAAAACTCAGTATAGATTACTGGATGCCTACTTAAAAAATCCTGTGTGACAAGATGAAGTGACAGCACCCAGGAATGTAGAATGGGTTTTTCACATGTTTCTTGTGGTCCTCAAGCACACTATTGCATTGCCAAAGCTCTGAGCTAGGTACCACTGTGGCAAAAGCAGGTGTGACACTTTATTTTAAGTGGTATTAAAATACTATTTGCTTTTTCTTACAGGGGTGTCAGAGATCAGCAGAAGTGCAGTGTCAAATCTGATGATAAATATTGATTCAGATGAAAAATTGCCAATAATTATGCCACCACCTAAGCTGCCCTGGTAGTCTTCACCTATTGCTTTTACTTCCTACAGATATTCACCTGTTCCATAAATAACCAGGCAATTTAGACTGCTGCTGCACTGTGTTCTGAGCAAGAGCTGTGCTAATAGTCTGAGCAGGCAAAGGGAGGGAATGTCATTTCTAAGCTTGGCTGGAGATGAATACATCAGCTCCCCAGCCAGTTACAGGCTAAGTTTAAAAAGCACTATTCTAAAGGAAAATTAGATGGTTAAACACTGTGGGGGAAGGGGGGGAAATAGGATAATCCCTTCAAAGCTTTAAATGGAAGATTCTCTAACTTGCTTCAGCTGATGTGAGACATATGAAGAGCCTCAGAATTAAGACCCCTGCAAAACTTCAGCCAGACACAACAGCTGCACTGCCTTTTGGGGGAGATGCACTTGAACTGGTTATACTCAAAGCAGATGTAAGCCACCCAGCCCTGCTAATCACAGCTAAATCTGGGGACCATTCACAGGCTGCTCTGCAGAATAAAGGGGCAGAGCAGGAAGAGAGCAGGCTTGGTGATAAGAAACAGGAACTGTAAAACTGTATTGGAGCATGGGGAAAGCAGCAAATTATTCTAGGAGCAGCAGAATCCACAGTCTAGTCAGATGAGATTTACATCAATCATACCTGTCAGGACACTGATATTTCAATATAGAACACAATATACTTGGAACTGTCAATGAACTCAAATGCTTTTGTGGAGCATATTGTGTCCAGCTTATTTTTCATGCACACAAAATTCCAAACAGGCTAAATAAATCTCTTAGGTTCAAGGAAAAGCCCAATGCTCAGCACAGGAGAGGGGGCTGCGTTTGGGTTTTGACAACTGATCCCTTTGCAAAGAGCGTGGGCCTATGCTAAGATGCCTTGGGAATTTCTGGAGAAGCTTGTTGCAAACCTGATTGGGTTGAGATTTGAGCTCCAGATAGGAAGGGCTGGAGGGAATGTAGAACAGTAGATTGCAACCAAGTCACTCCAGGGAGTGTAACCTTCAACTCAGTGTGGGGCTCAGCTCTTCTGAACTTACCCGGATCCTTCTCATGGCTGCCACAATCTCCACGCGGCTGTTGGGCCTGGGGACATCCAAGCTGCCGATGTACTGAAAGACACAACAGTGAGATGTCTGTGCAGTAATGCACAAATTCATGGTGTGGGCTTCTTCAAAACAGACAGCATTTCTCATTTGTTTAGTCCCTCCTTGCTTGGAGAACCCTTTGACCCAGGACAGGATAGGAATATCTGTTAAAGATAATGTTATCAAGTTGGGGATTTCTGAGGTTGGGTGTGAGGCTCTGACCTCATTCAGGTTCTGGATGTGCCTTTACCAGTGCTTTGCAGGGCGATGTCTGCTGCTAATTGAGTCATGATCCCATGTGTCTGAAACTAGGGCTTTCTATCCTTTGTTCCTCCTTACTACACCTGCTCAAAACTAAAAGCACATAAGAGCTGTAAAGCTGCCAGGATGTGCAACAAACACCTTTCCTGGGAAAGCCTTGTGATTCTACCTTAAGTTTTCAGTCTGGACCACCCAGACCTCTGCATACTGTTGTGCCTGCTTGGTTGGACCAGCTCAGCTGTCTGCAGAATCCTGGTAAACCCACCCAAATCTGTGTCCTACAACCCTGCTTAAGGGAGCTGCAGTCCTAACCACAGGATTGAGTGTCTGCATTCCAGTGTCTGTGCCAGTGATATTAGCAGGGTCTCTTACTGGGGTCTGAGACATGGCAGATGGCAGGTTCCCATCACCTCCACCTCTCCCCCTGCACCACAGCTGCCTGTTCTCCTGAACAGCATGGCAGCACACTGCACATGATCCACAGGTTATCATGGAACAGCCACAGGCAGCTTCCTGCTGCTGGCATTTCTCCCTCCTGTGCTGCCTGTACTCTCCCCTCGTGTGCCAAAGCAGAACCTGCTCGTGTACCTGTTGGCAGGAGGCAGCAGCTGCTGCCCGGTGGCACCAGGGACGGCACACATGGCACAGCTGCACAGGAGTGCCCTGCACTGCCCAGGGGAGGAGGCACAAAGCTGCCAGCTCAGCCTCAGGAATGAGGAAAACGCGCTGTCCTGGACAGTCACAGCGCGTGGGGAGCAAAGGCTGCTGACGCTGTAAGGTGATGTGGCGCAGCTCTGAGGGAAGACCTGCACGCCCAGGGCATGCTGGTGAGGACAGGGAGAATGTCACTGAGAGGGAGATGACAGCATGTGCTGGGAGCGGCCCTGGCAGCTGAGGACAGGGGCTGGATTTGGTGCTGGTGGGGTCCATCAGCTCCCTCAGGGTAACACAGCCCAGCTCTGCTGTTAGTGGTGGGGACTGAGGGCAGTTCACAGAGTTTAATGACCCTCCCAGGAACATTTGGTTTATGAACTGTGTCTGGATTTTAGTGTGTGGTTACAAAACTTTGGTTTTTTGGAAATTGTTCCCTTGTGGAGAGGAAAAGGAGCACCTAATCAGGAGGCCCCTGCAAATATTCAGGGTGATATTATATATATGAACGGAGACAAAATAATTCCCCAGAATAGCCCCATAGGTATTGCTGTTACTAACATAGTTCTGGATTTATTTCTCCACTGTACTACTTGCAGATTGCAATGGGTTTTATCTTGTAAAATGTCTGCTTAAAAAGGCTTTCAGAGATGAGCTCTCCTGGCTCAGTATTTACTGCTTTTTCTCCTGCCTTGAAATAAACACCACAAGCAATCTGAAAGGTCATCTGGCTTTGCTACTGCTTCTGTAAATGCCTTTGCAAAATGGCATTTTTAAGAGCAGTTAAGTTCATCTATAGCCTTTGGTAAACCACAGGAGAGCCAAGCTCAGAGCACGAGAGCTTGAGGGCAGCAGGGAGGGGAGCAGCAGAGCCAGGGCTTCCCTCAGGCTGCTGGGGAGGGCAGAGCTGTATTTCAGTGCTCTGTGGCCTCTCTGGTGTGCAGATCTCCTTCCCTGCCCCACTGTCTGTCAGGGCAGTCACTGCTAATCCAGATGAGCTCCTTGCAGCTGGCTGGCCTTTTGTCTGCCAGCAGCAGAGCTGCAGTGGGGAGCAAGCCATGCTCCTAATGACAAATTAACTGGGGCAACAGGACAGCTGGGAGTGCTGAGCTAGAGGAGATCCTTTCAAACTCTGGCTGCAGAGTTTGGGTACCTGTGCTCCCACACAGTGCCATGAAACTCATGAAACAGCACACAAAGCTCTGCCCAAACGAGCAGCTCCCAGCACTGACCTCCTGAAGATTATAGGGGAAGGAAGGCAGTTTGGAATGTGGAGATTAGAGAGTGAGTGTGGTCAGTAAGATTGCCTGGTGTGAGACACCTGCAGCCAGCTGCAGCCTTGTCATTGTCAGCGTCGCAGCTGACTGATGTGCCCACAATGAGCAGCATAATTGGAAGAGACAGACTGTAAAGCAGAACTGAGCAAGCATGTTACTAAGGTAATGCAAACCCCATCCCAGACCCACACATCCTAACAGGGTGTTATCCACTCACTAGCTCTGGATGCCTGGAGCTGTCAATCTGAAAAGCCAGTTTCACTCAGTTAAAGCTACAGTTGCTTCTCATCTTTTAGAAACCAAATTAAGAATTTTTCTTCTCCTCTGCACAGTCTGCAGCAGAGCAAATGTTAATTTAAATAGAGAAATCACAGATTAAATGTTTTCTTCCCTAAGGAAGATAGATTTTTAAAATACATGATTAGCTGTCTATTCAGATTCATCCTGTATCCTGCTTAAATCTTACAGCTCTTTCAGCAGGAAAACCAAGAGGCACAAAATCCGTATTTCAAAGCTTTATTGGAATGTATATGCCCCTTCTTTCCAGCTCAGGAGACAGCAGGCGTGAATTCCATTTCTAATCTGTGTTAGGCCACCTGCAAAGAGGGGAAGGGAGCCTGTGAGTTGCTCCAGCAAAATGCAATTCTTCTTGTCAGCTGAATTATAAACCCATTCCCCATGCTGTCTACAGCGTGCCAATTCCAATGGAGTCACTTTCTGAGAGTGCTGCTGTGCTGCCAGGCTGTTCTGCATGATCAATACGGGATTTCTGACAATATCAGTATTTCTTTCTGATGAAGGCTGCAGATCTTGTCTGTCCAGCTTTTCATGCAGGGAAAGGGTCAGCTGGAGTCAGGCACTATTATTTGAGCAGCACATAGCAGTCTGCCAGTTTCCAGGGGAATAGGGAGCTGTCACCCCGACGTGGCAGGACAGGGCAGCCCGGTGGGGGACAGGACAGGCACTGAATCAGGCAGGGATGAGCACCTGGAACAGCATCCACGGTGCTGTCAAGATGGGTCATTCCAGAGCAGTTTCCAAATGAAGCTCACAAGGCAGCGCCTAAGGATTACACAGCTGCAAAGATACTCGGAAAAGAGCAAGAACCTGTTTGATTGTGCTAATTAAATGTAAGGCTTTCATAATTGATTGCTGTTTTCTTTAGACTCCCTCAGCGTGGCCCAGGGGCACTTCCAGAGCTGAAGAATAACCGTGGCAGGGCTGGGGAGGCCCGGCGAGCCCGGCCACGGGGCCATGGGCCCGCGGGCAGCGGGTGCCACACCGGCGGCTGCCGGACAGCACCGGAGCCCAGCCCGAGGGGACCCCGAGCCCGCAGAGACCCCGGGGCCCTCTCTGCAACAGCCAAGGAGGGGGAACCTCCCGGGGGTTC